ACACGAAATCAAAATAAGCAGAGACAATCAAACACATGAAATACAGAGGCGAATAGGTCTAACATGGGCAGCATTTGGCAAATTAAGCCATATTCTAAAAAGTTCAATTCCCATGTGTCTCAAGCGAAAGGTTTATAACCAATGTGTTTTACCTGTACAAACTTATGGAGCAGAGACTTTAACACTCACGCAAAAATCTGCGAATAAACTTAGAGTTACACAACGAGCCATGGAACGTGCAATGCTGAATGTGAGCCTTCGAGACCACATAACAAACCAACAAATCAGGCGAAGATCAGGAGTTCAAGACGTCATCGAAAGAACCACGACGCTTAAGTGGAACTGGGCAGGGCACTTAGCCAGAACACAAGATGGACGGTGGACAAGACGTATTATGGAATGGAGACCCAGAAATTATAAAAGAAGCCGAGGACGACCACCGACTAGATGGACCGATGACATTAAACGTGTAGCGGGAAACTGGCTACAAGCGGCCCAGTGTAGAGAACACTGGAAAGAACTGAGGGAGACCTATGTCCAGCAGTGGACGCGATTGGCTGATTGATGATGGCATATCCAGAATTAGATCTTGGTTCAGATCTTTGACAATGGCACATCTCGTTATGGACTGGCAACTTCCAAAATCGATAGTGAAGTCGGGGTTGATATAATTCATCGATGCACCGGTATTGATGAGGACATGGACTTTCTTTGAATTGATATTCGCATCGATTCGTGGCAGATTTGAGACCTTCTTGGCATTGATTGGATTTAGTTGGGGCACTGCATTTGGAGAGAGGCTTAGTGGGTGCCCCTCTCGCCGTTTCCCTGGTTGTTAGGCTGTTGGCGGGGTTTTGGCGTCGGTTTCTGAGTTGGATTTCTATTTCTCCAATCATCTAGAGTCTCAAAAGTTCTCGGTTGCCTTTGTGAATATTGTCCCCTGGCTTGGTTCTGGTTCGGCTGTTTTGCGGTTTGCTGGTTTTGGTGGGTCAGGTTGTCGATTTGCACGTCGTGAAATGTTTTCTGATTTCTGGCCAAATCAGATTCGTAATGGTCCTGCACCTTTCTTCCTCGTCGATATGGGGTAGTAATCGTCGAAAAAGAGCCATCTTGTTTGAAATGAATTCCGCTATTGGCTGATATTTTTGGTAATGTCCGTATAGCTTGGACATTGGCGATGATCTCTTCGTTGTGTTGTCGAAGTGATCGATGAGCCTGTTTAAAAACATGTCGTAGTTCAGACCAGTCGTAAATTGACTCTGTGCCCATTGAGCTGCCTCTCTTATCAGTGAATTTTATAGGATATAGGCTATACAATGTTTGGTATCGATGTTCATATTGCTAATGTGGTCTATTATTTCGTTTACGAATTGAGGTGGTACAGGGGCCCATTTCGCTTGCGGGATTTCTATCTTTTTTCTCTGGGCTTCGATGGGTTTGGTCTGTACCAGTGTTAAAGCTGTAACTGCTTGTATCAACGTGGACAAAACTGAAGCCAGGTCTGGGCTGTGGGTATCTTCTGTTAGTTCGGTGCCATGTCGTACGGCTGTAGCGTCCTCCAGGTTCTCTGGGGTTTCTTGACGATCCACGACCGCCGCTCTTGAGGAGGATCTTAAATTCTTTGGTTCCATCCTCGTGTTCGTGAAGTTAAACAGGATTCCGGCCTCTACGTATGAGAAGTTTCGCCAGGCCTCTGTGGTAGGCGAGGGGACACCAGCAATCAGAATATTTTAACCGTTCGAGCTTTCCTACAATGACTTAATATATGAGTTAGTACTAGCAGACCAACTCGACATCGATTTTTTTAAATAAAATTTTTAAACTGCGAGAAAAATTAAGAGATCAATACAAACAATATAAGCAAGAATATACATAACATTCATCAATAATAATGCAAGTAAAAAGTGTATTAAATATCACGAAATATTTCGTCCAAAACAATGATTTTTGATACAATGTCTCCATTTTCTGAAAACTTTTGCTTGGTACCGGGAGTTATGTAAACTTTTACTTTTTACTTTTTATTAAAAACGAAACCGGAAGTCGACCTCAAAACCGGAATGCAATTTTTAGTTCATCAAATGTCGACATGGATATCATTTAGCAGTTAATTTTGCATGCTGATCACGAATCCATTGTCAGATTTGCTCTATCTTGACGTTTTATGCGCGTTTCGGGTCACTTCCGGTGTCGGATCGCAACCGGAAGTACATATTTAGATTCGTCTTGACGAGACCTTTCGATCCATATATACATTGTGGGGTCTAAAACTTAAAGTAAATTTTAACTTCTGGTCATCTCAAAACCGGAAGTGAATTTTTGTACCAAAAGTATATCTTGACAATCTCTTACGTAATAATAATATTCCGAAAAAATATTTTAATTATCTAATATGGTTTTTGAGTAAAGTGGTGGACAAGAAAAGGGCTTAGCGTTTTAGTATATAAGATTCTGTAGCCTTCTCACCTCTTGTAGCCGCGTTCCCTTTCCTCGAAAGAGAGACACAAGAATGCCGGCAGTGTCGACTTTTCCTACTGCCCGTCGCTCCGTGTTATATTTTTCGTAAACAGTATTCTCAATCCGGTAAGGATGGTTACTATTTGCATAAGGTTTCTGGCGACGAAGCGATATTGCAGCTCGACCACTGATCGGAAAAGCAATTACAAGTCCCCGTCGGACTTTTATTCGCTCTTTACCGTCACAAGTCCCAAAGAACGCTTTGGTCAGTTCAACACAATTTAAAATAGTTCTATAATAAGACAACTGTCTTTTCTATTTCATAAGGCCGTTTCTTACTGACAGGGAGCGTTCGTAGTCAACACGCCGGTTCTTGTGCCCTGAAGGTTTATCTTCTAAAATGGATGAAGTCTTCTTTTATTCTACGTACTCGACGATATTAGGTTACTGGATTAATAATAAAACTCAAAGATAGTGTTGGAGTAACGCCAGGCCAACAAGGTCTAGCGAGGCTAGTAGTATATGTAGACTTAGTTCCGATCAGAAGATGTGCTGCTATTTTATACACTTAGTGTTTGAGAATTCAGTTAATCACGGGCTCTGTGATTGGCCGGCCAAAGTGACACTCTGTGTCGTGTTTGGTCACTTTGGCGACACTATTACTAAAATGGATTAGTACAGCACTACTACTATAGTATGCAATATAACAGTAACGCATTGGTTAGTGATCAGTGTAGTAGTATCTGATGGCTCGGGAGATTGAGACCCCGGAAGCCATGAAGAAGACATCGAAGAGGATGTCGAAAGCCCGGCGCAATGATAATCGACGCGGTTCGCTTAAACGTTTCGGCCATTTGCTATTTTCAATAAGCACTTTAATTAATTAAGTATTATACGATACACAATTATACATATATGTTACGTCTGCACTTTTTAAAAGTTTTACATGAAATGAAAAAGTGGTATCTATCTATATCCTAATATGTACCTCCTATAAATACATCTTACAGGTACTTCAAAAGACGAGTGGTTCACGGTCGTATATCTGCCAATATACAAATGCATAACCTTTTTTACTAATAATTATAAGAGTAAAATTTTGCAAAATAAATTTTTATTTTATATTGTTTTAAACAAATTACTCGATTAAATAAACAATTCACAAATTAACCAAATGAATTTTTATGATCCATACCACGAGTTAACCCGAAATTTAAAAAAATCATCAATTTTCGTTGATAAGAACCAGATATATTGCGACTTTTATAAATTTAAATTTATGAATTCAGTTTTTAATCTTTTTTATCTAAACTGACTCTCTTAATCTTCCAAATGGTTCTTTTTAATTTGTTTATTGTTTGTAAACAAAGCTCCGTTGAATTTTTGAAAAAAAAGGATAACTCGGATTTTGAGGGTCGTAGAACGTTATGTTTTTATTTCTAATTCGTGTAAAAATGCCAGAAGGCCGATAAAAAGACCCTAGAGTAATTTTGCAAACTTATAATATTTAATATAGCTAAACCTTTTATTCCTTAAATTATTTAATTTGATAAAATAAGCGAACATTGGGGGACAGGTGGACCCAAATCAGAAAGGAGGAGGGTTCTACACGATGTTGTACAGTCAATCATCCTTTACGCGGCACCAGTCTGGAGTGGGGCGGTAAGGATACCGACCTACTAGAGGCTTATGACAGAGAACATACGAACTGCGGTCGTAGTTCTCTGCTTATGATACGAGTGGACAGAATGAGTCTGAGTAGCATGCGCCTTCAGGACTAGTGTCTGCAGACTATCACGGATTGCGTTCGTTTGCATGTGTTAGCAGTAGAAAGGAGACATATCTATGAGAGAAGAAAGCATTTGACTATAGCCATAAATAAAGAAGAAATGAAAAGTTCATTGGAAAGATGGAAAAAAGAGTTGCACAGCACGAAAGATATTATTCAGTGGACTAAGAGGCTGCTCGAGCCTAAGCGACTAGGTGGACTGTGGTAACAGACGACTGTGCCTATAATTTTACTCGTACAATGCTGGAGTGTAGTAGACGGACAGAGAAGAAGAACAGAATGTATAGAAAAACAGGTATGTATTATAACCTGTGATTGTGAGAGAGATGATCGTAAAGATGACGGGAAGTAAGGAGGGTTGAATAGTGTACACAGTTACATCGTCGTCCAAGGCATACCTTGGCAGGGCTTCTTTCTAGGGGGAAATGGACTCAGATGTACTCCTCTAACCTGAATCCAACAAACGTCAGCCATACCTAGGGATAGATTAACCTGGTATGATATTTTAGAAAATTTCTACCCAAAGAAAAAAAACCTATATCAACTAGTGTCATGAGATCATCGTTAGTTACCTGGTCTATACATGCAATTACTGCATTTCTCATAGACATACTAAAATATAAATATGATTTCATCTCCACTTTCACACAAAATACAACACGTAAACCACATAATTATCCAGATTGCATTTGTTTAACTTTTATTTACATAAAATAAAGTTATGTCCCGGTGTAATATATTTATTTTATTGCAGATTAGTTGATGACTTTCCACCATGGTGATAGTGACGCGGGTAAGTGATAAGAAAATATAATATCTCTTAAATATCTCTTATAACATGTGTAGGTATTCCAATATGAGGGTAATTACCATAATTTATTTATGTATATATTGTTACATTTCTTTCTAATCACTTTTATTCAAAACAGCAACCGATATTACAATACTTGTTAACAAATCTACATAACTGAATAACAAAACTATTTAAACACTTAATTACTATTTGTTATTGAACTGTCAACTTTCTGTTTGTATATATTTTCTGACGTTCCCAAACCTTACGAGACATTTCGGAACATTTCGAGATTGTTTTTTTTTCGTCAAGGGACTTTTTTATATGAATTAAATCTTACATAACCATCCTAACACTGCTCCTTCCTTTATAGTTTTTCGCCACGAATAATTTGTTGATCAGGGATCGACTGAAGCCAACAGGGTGGATCAGTTTACTTGAACTACCTTGAGTTTACTTCTAACCGAAATCTGGATACGGTACATTAGATCGTTTATTTTCTGCATGACCGTGAAGAAATGCATAAAGAGAATAAGATGAAGTGCATGCTTTTGTGTATTGAAAGTTTTACATTCGATATGGAAAACGGTGGTTTTTTTAAAGTGAAAGTGGTAATTTGAAAGGTACTTTCAATTCAAAGGAAGGAATTTGCACTCAAAATGCGATCTGGCAGTTTTTGATGAGAATCACCGATTTGTTCGTGCTGTGTTTTATCTGAGAGAATTGTAAGACGGCGTTTTTCAACCATTTGAGAGGTCCACATGGTTTTAAGAAAAAATTTAATGGCCGAGTTTTGAAGATTGCATTTAATTGTCATCCAGGATTATCCGAAGACCGAACCAGTGTCTAACTTCCAAATAATTGTCTATTTTTGTTCCCTGGTCACTTCAGACCCAATTGCAGCTTGTGTGGGACACAGTTGTGTGTGTTTGCAGTGTTTTGATCCAGTTCCAATCCCAAAAGCTTTTAGTAATAATAATTTAAATTCCTAAAGTGTCCTCAACGTTTAGAGCTTGTTGTAAATCGATACAAATAGCGCCATTGTAAGTTTTGTTGATAAATTTTGTTAATACTATTTGTAATTACTGTTGATGTAAAGTATTAATAAATATGTAATATATATATATATATATAATATATATATATATATATATATATATATATATATATTATATATATATATATCGGTTTTAGAACGTATTTCGACGTTGTCCGATGCTCAACTTCCACGTCCCATTGGCTATCTCTTAAGATTTTGTCCCTTGTACTTATTGCCTTGGTTACCCCTTCTTTCCATATCTTTTTGAGTCTTCTTCCTCGTTTTTTACGGTTTGGTGGCACCCACTGCATAATCTTTTTGGGCAATCTTGTGTCTTCAATTCTTTGAACATGACCATACCAAATTAACTGTTTTCTCTCAGTATCTGTTGTTAAGTAACCGTCTACTCCAATTCGTCGTCTTATTTCCACATTTCGAATTCTTTCCCTAACAATTTTCTAAACACATCCATTTCTACAGCTTCTAATTTTTTTCTGTTGTTCTCGGTTATTCGTCAAGTTTCACTACAGGATGTGATTTCTTAATTATTCTTTAGTTCGATATTGGATAACTCAACTCCTAAAGGTAGGTATTTAGGGTTTTCCACATTAATTTACAAGCCCCACTGTTCATACTCTTCCTTTAGTTTCCTTGCCATATACGCTAGATCGTCTTTATCATTAGCTATGATGACTTGGTCATCAGCAAATTGTAAGGTATATAAACAAACCTCTCTAAAGCTTTGATTAGAGTATAGCTAATGTTAGTTTCTTGTAGCGATTTCCACAATTTAGTCACAGGAACGCTGTCGTATGCTTTACGGAGGTCAATAAAAATGAGATGGGTCTCTTGATTTGTTGCTAATTTTTTTTTTTTGATTAGTTGTTTTAGACAGAAGACATTATCTGTGCAAGTCCTTCCGGCGCGGAAACCGGCCTGTTCTTCTTCTTGTTACCTATACTCTATACTCGCTAAGAGGTACAAGGATAAAAGTACTTTGTAGATAAAAAAGAGGCTTCGCGATAATTCGACTTCCAAAGGTTTTGAATTTAATTAAGTAGAATTGATTTTTTTTCAAGTTAAAAGGGAAGTTATCTGAAAAACTACTATTTTCAACATAGATAATGATAATCAACTCTTTCAAAGTGTCGTAACTAACCTGAGTAAAGACACTATTTTAGACGTTTAAATTGAATTTATTATTAAATAATTATAGCGATTGTTCTTATGAATCTGTGCTTATAAAGTAAGTGATGTTGTATAATAAGAGTCTGTTATTTCATAACAATCAAAAGATGCTTTCAAAACATCTATTACGGCGTGGAATTATCTACAAAGTGAAGAGTTAAAACAGAAGTGTAATGTATAATAAGTACGGCAGTGTTATTTTAAATTTCGTGATACTCTGCGTAATTTTTTACAGACTTAAGTCTTCACGTTAAGTGAAACTTAACTGAAAAATGTGTGAAATTTAAGTTAAGTTTCACACATTTTTAATATATTTTTTAGGATCAGGATATCACGTAAAACATTTTGTTTTAAGATTTTAAAAATTTTTAAGAGTAATTCTGGAGTATAAATCATCCCTTGTATACTATTTTTACTAATTTGTAATGTAATGAAATTCAATATAAATAGCTATCAGCCGACTACAACCCTAATTACCAGAAACGCAGGAAATACGTTTTACGGTCTACTGGGTGTTCTACCTACACCACTCTCTATTTCGTTGATTGTTTCATCTGGGACTTTTGTACTCACATATTGCCGATGTGGAAATACCGGAATTTCCGGACGTTTGACCGCGATGCGAAGTAATTTTAATCTGTAACAATGTGCGTCCATGTCCGGGGAAATCAAACGGCTATTGAAAACTGTATTAGCAATTATGTTGAAATATGTGATTCCTGTATCTATGTAAAAAATATAACTGCTCCAGTTACAACAAGGCCGCTAGGCAAAAAAACTTTAACAGTTAGGCCAATTGAGTTGTTTAAGGATTTTTACTCGACACAATTGTATAGACGGGTTTGACAGTTGAAATTTATAGTATGAGATAAAACAAAAAGACTATTATGTATCTAGGGATTCATCAATTTTTATTGGAAATATCGCTTATCGAATGCAAAATGGTTTGACAGTTGAAATTTATAGTATGAGATAAAACAAAAAGACTATTATGTATCTAGGGATTTATCAATTTTTATTGGAAATATCGCTTATCGAATGCAAAACTATCCAAAGCCACAAAATGCAAATTTTACATTTTTTTTCTGATTAACTGTAAAACTAAAAAAAAAATTAAAAACAAAGTGACTATCTTCTTCTTTAAGTTCCATCTTCTATTGAAGGTTGGAAATCATCATGGCTATGCGGACTCTGTTGACTGCCGCTCTAAAAAGTTCTGCACTACTGCATTCAAACCATTCCCTTAAGTTCTTAAGCCAGGATATTCTTCGTCTTCCCACATTTCGCTTTCCTCGGATTTTACCCTGCATAATAAGTTGTAATAATGCGTATTTTTGCCCTCTCATCACATGTCCCAAGTACTCAAGTTTTCGTCTTTTAATAGTTAATATTATTTCCGTCTCATTTCCTATCCTTCTAGTTACTTCCATGTTTGACATTCTTTGAATCCATGATATTCGTAGGATTCTTCTGTAACACCAAAATTCAAAGGCGGCCAACTTATTCAGATGAACTTGTTTTAGTGTCCAAGCTTCCAAACCATAAAGAAGAGTAGAGAACACGTAACATCGAAGCATTCTCAGGCGTAGTTCTAACCTTATATCCCGACAACAAAGAAACTTTTTAAGTTTAATAAATGATGTACGTGCTATTTCAATACGTGTCTTAATTTCTTTGGTTTGGTCTACATCTGATGTTATCCATGTTCCTAAGTATTTATAGTTATTAACACTCTCAATTGCAGTATCTTCAATAGTCAACTGGATAATTGCTTGTGCAGATTTAGTTATGATCATGCATTTAGTTTTCTTTAAATTTATCTTCAGTCCGTACTCATGACAGCGTTCATTAAGGCGTTTCATTACGTTCTGTAAATCATTGTTGTTATCCGTAATTATTACTGTATCGTCTGCAAAACGTAAGTTATTCAAAACTTCTCCATTGATAGATATATCTTCTATTGAGTCTGAGAGCGCTTATTGAAATACCGCTTCACTGTAGACATTGAAAAGTAGTGGGGACAGCACGCAACCCTGGCGGACTCCTCTCTGTATTTTGATATTTTCGGTGTACTGGCTGTCAACTCTTACCTTGGCAGTTTGATTCCAATATAAATTAAAGTGTAACTCTATCTTAGAGTGTTAAAAGTGACTATAGTGTAACTTTTTAAGCCTAATGTTTTTTCTAAAGCCTAATGTTTTTTCCGATAAAATCAGTTAATCACAAATTTGTGGACTTACGATATATTGCTCGTTATAAGGACCGTTAAGCTAGCGGGAACAAATGAGCGGAATACAATTTAACCACCCTAATCATTTTTCACCACCAAACCAACCTTAGGGGAGCGATTCTGCTGGTTTAAGGTTGAAGCTAGCAGAATTCGGAAAAAAAAACTTTTTGCTTATGGCATATTTTTTCACCCATTTTTCACTAATTTATTACCACCCCAATAATTTTTCATTACCAAACCACCCTTATTGGGAGCGATTCTGCTGGCTTAATGTTCAAGCTAGCAAAATTCAGAAAGAAAACTTTTTGCCGATGGCATATTTTTTTTACCCATTTTTCACCAATTTATTACCACCCTAACAATTTTTCACCACCAAACCACCCTTAGGGGAGCGATCTAGTACAATTCCAAAAATAATATTTATGATATACCACAGTGCTCTGCTAGTTTTTTATAAATTTATTACCACACTAGTAATTATTCACCCCCCAACTACTCCTTATGAAAAGTGAATAATTCTGTTGGGATAATATTTAAGGTGAT